GTGAGTGAGGACTTCGGTCTCTCCTTGATGTCTTCAAAGACAAGTTGGGCGCCATGTTTCCTAGGGGTTGACTCCTCGGTGGACGGAACACTGCCGATGCTATCGTCGATGGAACACTGAAAAAAAAAATAAATAAATAAATAACAACGAGTAAGTTAGATGTGGTCGAGTCGGAGGCTCAGAGTAAAATGAATTCCCAGTGGCTCGAGCGTCGGTTTTTATATTGTTGCAAACAATAGATTGTTTACGATTTGGCGATTGATTGGATGCCTAATGACTATTTAATGACTGTTTGTCGTTCATTCCCAGGGAATCCAGGTAGATGCATCCACTCATAATGGGTTTTTCCCATCCCTAATGGGCTTTGTTGCCCTAAATGTTTTTTGTACGGCATTATTAGCGTACGAAAAAATCGGAAAAAAATTCTATCCTACGTAACTCGGCGAGATCTATCGAAATATCGACTTTTTGAAACCCGGAAAAGTTTCCTTCTGGGTGAAAAGCCGGATTTTTTGTGAAAATTACGCCTTTTTTGGAATTTTCGGCCGATATCTCCAAAACTACACCAACGATTTTTTTCAAACTTTTGCCACATATTCTTTGATTTTTTTGCCATTTTTCCACGCAAATCGCATGTCTTCAAAAATTTATTTCACCAAGTTATAGGGAAATGAAAATTTACGGGAATTAAAATTTTAAATAAATACACTCCGTTTACTCGGAAACTATAAGGTTTTCGAAAAAAAAATTATTTTTTCAAAATTAATAATTCAAGTTTCGTTCAACTAACAAAAAAAACCCGATAACGATATCTTAACCCGTTCAAAAGTTATAGCAAAAAAAAGGAATTCCCGGCCGGCCGCCGTGCCAGCGCGTGTAACGTCACATCGCTTTATTACTAAACTATTACTACTATTACTAAATTCTGGTGATATATTACTAGATTCTCATGATATTACTAGATTCTGGTGATATTACTAGTTTCTGGTGATATTACTAGATTCTGGTGATATATTACTAAATTCTGGTGATATATTACTACATTTTGGTGATATATTACTAGATTCTGGTGATATCACTAGATTCTGGTGATCACTAGATTCTGGTGATTTATCACTAGATTCTGGTGATTTATCACTAGATTCTGGTGATTTATCACTAGATTCTGGTGATTTATCACTAGATTCTGGTGATTTTTACTAAATTCTGGTGATCACTAGATTCTGGTGATCACTAGATTCTGGTGATTTATCACTAGATTCTGGTGATTTATCACTAGATTCTGGTGATTTATCACTAGATTCTGGTGATTTATCACTAGATTCTGGTGATTTTTACTAAATTCTGGTGATCACTAGATTCTGGTGATATATCACTAGATTCTGGTGATCACTAGATTCTGGTGATTTATCACTAGATTCTGGTGATTTATCACTAGATTCTGGTGATTTATCACTAGATTCTGGTGATTTATTACTAGATTCTGGTGATTTATTACTAAATTCTGGTGATATATTACTAGATTTTGGTGATATATTACTAGATTCTGATGATATTACTAGATTCTGGTGATATTACTAGTTTCTGGTGATATTACTAGATTCCGGTGATATATTACTAAATTCTGGTGATATATTACTAGATTCTGGTGATATCACTAGATTCTGGTGATATCACTAGATTCTGGTGATCACTAGATTCTGGTGATCACTAGATTCTGGTGATTTATCACTAGATTATGGTGATTTATCACTAGATTCTGGTGATTTATCACTAGATTCTGGTGATTTATCACTAGATTCTGGTGATATATCACTAGATTCTGGTGATTTATCACTAGATTCTGGTGATCACTAGATTCTGGTGATTTATCACTAGATTCTGGTGATTTATTACTAGATTCTGGTGATTTATTACTAGATTCTGGTGATATATCACTAGATTCTGGTGATTTGTTACTAGATTCTGGTGATTTATCACTAGATTCTGGTGATTTATTACTAGATTCTGGTGATTTATTACTAGATTCTGGTGATATATCACTAGATTCTGGTGATTTGTTACTAGATTCTGGTGACATATCACTAGATTCTGGTGATATTCTGGTGATATATCACTAGATTCTGGTGATTTTTTACTAAATTCTGGTGATTTATCACTAGATTCTGGTGATTTATCACTAGATTCTGGTGATTTATTACTAGATTCTGGTGATTTATCACTAGATTCTGGTGATTTATCACTAGATTCTGGTTATATATCACTAGATTCTGGTGATTTTTTACTAAATTCTGGTGATTTATCACTAGTTTCTGGTGATTTATCACTAGTTTCTGGTGATATATTACTAGATTCTGGTGATTTATCACTAGATTCTGGTGATTTATCACTAGATTCTGGTGATATATTACTAGATTCTGGTGATATATTACTAGATTCTGGTGATTTATCACTAGATTCTGGTGATTTATTACTAGATTCTGGTGATTTATTTACTAGATTCTGGTAATTTATCACTAGATTCTTATGATATATTACTAGATTCTGGTTATATATCACTAGATTCTGGTGATTTTTTACTAAATTCTGTTGATTTATCACTAGATTCTGGTGATTTATTACTAGATTCTGGTGATTTATCACTAGATTCTGGTTATATATCACTAGACTCTGGTGATTTTTTACTAAATTCTGGTGATTTATCACTAGATTCTGGTGATTTATTACTAGATTCTGGTGATTTATCACTAGATTCTGGTGATTTATTACTAGATTCTGGTGATTTATCACTAGATTCTGGTGATTTATCACTAGATTCTGGTTATATATCACTAGATTCTGGTGATTTTTTACTAAATTCTGGTGATTTATCACTAGTTTCTGGTGATTTATCACTAGTTTCTGGTGATATATTACTAGATTCTGGTGATTTATCACTAGATTCTGGTGATTTATCACTAGATTCTGGTGATATATTACTAGATTCTGGTGATATATTACTAGATTCTGGTGATTTATCACTAGATTCTGGTGATTTATCACTAGATTCTGGTGATTTATTACTAGATTCTGGTGATTTATTTACTAGATTCTGGTAATTTATCACTAGATTCTTATGATATATTACTAGATTCTGGTTATATATCACTAGATTCTGGTGATTTTTTACTAAATTCTGTTGATTTATCACTAGATTCTGGTGATTTATTACTAGATTCTGGTGATTTATCACTAGATTCTGGTTATATATCACTAGATTCTGGTGATTTTTTACTAAATTCTGGTGATTTATCACTAGATTCTGGTGATTTATTACTAGATTCTGGTGATTTATCACTAGAATCTGGTTATATATCACTAGATTCTGGTGATTTTTTACTAAATTCTGGTGATTTATCACTAGATTCTGGTGATTCATTACTAGATTCTGGTGATTTATCACTAGATTCTGGTTATATATCACTAGATTCTGGTTATATATCACTAGATTCTGGTGATTTTTTACTAAATTCTGGTGATTTATCACTAGTTTCTGGTGATTTATCACTAGTTTCTGGTGATATATTACTAGATTCTGGTGATATATTACTAGATTCTGGTGATTTTTTACTAAATTCTGGTGATTTATCACTAGTTTCTGGTGATTTATCACTAGTTTCTGGTGATATATTACTAGATTCTGGTGATATATTACTAGATTCTGGTGATTTATCACTAGATTCTGGTGATTTATTACTAGATTCAGGTGATTTATCACTAGATTCTGGTGATTTATTACTAGATTCTGGTGATTTATCACTAGATTCTGGTTATATATCACTAGATTCTGGTGATTTTTTACTAAATTCTGGTGATTTATCACTAGATTCTGGTGATATATTACTAGATTCTGACGCTGTCAACTTTGACCTGGGTTAGGTTTTTGGGAGCAGGTCCTCCACCCGTCCCCCTCGAGTATTTGTTGATCGCGGCTTTTTTAGCCTTAACATTTTTTTTATGTCTTGCCACGTCTGAAAAGGAATGTAAGAAATAATTTTTATTATATATGTTTAAATTAAAAATTGTTATATCTTACCCTTCTTCACTTCGTCCAACATTTTTACGGTCCATAAGGCACTGCATTTAATTTAAGCGCAATCTCCTCCTAACTCATCCGCTCTACGTCGTTTTAGAGTGGATTTTTTGACCCTACCTCTACAATTCATACTAAATTTGGCGATCAAAAAACCTGCAACTTTTAAATTAATCTCAATATTTATAAACTTCCTTAACTTTTGTGAAGCAGTATATTTTAAATACAAATATCTCGATATGGGCTGAATTTATGCTATTAAAACAAGTAACACTTTTCTGTTCAAAATTAAAGGGTCTATCATATAACATATCTTTACACAAAAAGTATCGCGATTGTGATTATCAATAAATTGAGCCTAATTGAAATAGTTAAATATTGGAGTATTTTTAAATTAATTTAATATTGAAAATTTCAGGGTCTCTTCTTTTTTATCTAATTGAAAAAAGTAGAAATGGCTAATAACCTTTAAGGTTTAGGCCAATAATAGACCCAATGTTCTATTTACACTTGGCAACATTGCGCTTAACATCGCGACACTTTCCATCGCTCGAGAATACGGTTTAAAGCTTTTGTGGGAGGAAACTCTCATGGGAGATTCCAATGGGAAGAGTTCTCATTGGAATGATTCAAGAATCGGTACCCAGCTGAGAATTCTCACGAAATTGGCGCATGCGCAGAAATATGGCAACTAAACTAAAAGTTACTGAAAATTGTAGATTGTAGATATTCCAAAAGGAGATTAAGTAAGCGTCGTTTTAAAGAAAACCTGATAAAAATAGGTCAATAAATAACGATGATATGAGCCTATTCATTTAACCTCATTCAAAAGTATTGTTTAAATCGTAAGTACTTAATTGATTAAATGTTCTATTAACACATAGTCATCATTCGATTACGATTGTTTTAGACAGAAATCGTAAAAATCCATTGAAATTTCGACAAAGTACAGAAAGATTTCAGAAAATTTCTGTAGGAAAAACGACGAAAAAGCGCCGAAAATCAAGAGGAAAACCATCGAATTTCGTCTCTTTTCATTCTTTAGGCAAGGAAAAAAAAAACAAGGACGAAAAATGGATAATTTAAAAGCCAACATAATAGAAAAATAATCTGTTTCTTCAATTCAATCAATTTCCAAATACTTATTCCTGACCCAAAAATAGAAGCTCAATTGTTGACGTAATAAAAGCTATAGCACGTTAAATCAAGAAGGTAAGATTTATTTCTAATTTGCAAGGTCTTTTATTTCGTAATAATTTTTTTTGCAACGTTTTAGAAATTCTTCTGAAAATGAAGGAGGAACATAATATATATTTAGGCTCACCGAAGCGGCCTAAAGAAGACAGATTTATCAACTTATTCTTGGTGTATCCTTATGATATATTCTACAGAATAGTAGCAGCATTTCTACCTCCTTTTAGAAGTAAAGATAAAATTTACATTGATCTTATGGGACCACTGTTAGCTTTACTACTTCTAACGATTTTCGTATCCTACGGTAATTCCTTAAAAGTACACAAAATACTTTTCTTATCTCCAATCGAATTTCTCTGTTTATATGTATTCGTAATGCCCGCATTTTCATTCATTATTAGTAAAATCGCCGGATCGGATATTACTTTAGTAGAAACAATTTCTGTGCTGGGTTATTCACTGTATGGACATTTACTTACACTGCTCCTATCATTTTTGTGTTATCAAGAAAAAAGTAATTTTTTCTTTTTCGTTTGCTTGGTAGTTTTCGGAGGTCCGAGCACTTTGCGAATCGTAATAATTCTTTTAAGGACCATAAAGGTACCTGGAGCAAGATTAATTGTATGCGCGTGTGTTGCTGTATTAAATATACTTAGTTTAATTTTCCTGCATTTCGCGTACATGCATAGAATTTACGTATACTTGTAGAGAGAATGAATGTTTATAATACAATAAATAAAAGACTTGTTTGTGGTTTATAAACTGTTTTATTTAAGAAAGGTAACACAAACAAATCAAACGCCATTTTAAAACCGAAAAGAATAATTAAACAATCGTTTTTGAAATAAATAAAAATCTTTGTATAAAAAAAAAATAACAATCCGGATTTTATAAAAATATGTTTATTTCGCATCGCGTTAAACATCATCTCTAACAGTTCTACTGTATTCGAGGATACGCATACATCACATCACTTTTTTTTATATATGTAAGTATGTATATATTATACGAATTTTAAATCTTACGAATTAATATTGCTTCAACATTACGCAAGTAGAAAATATCACCGTTGTGCCTTTGTTAAGCTATTCTATGACAATTCCTCTATAGATTATTCAATAGTACGAGAAGCTATGTTATAAATCGGATTAAATAATTTAACTTTTAAGGAACGAGCGATGCTTGAATATGAAAAATAAACAACTAAAAAAAAAAAAACTGATGTGGCGCCATGACTCCTATCGCGAAATTTTCCTTTAGGCCGGGCGCAAAATGAAGCGCAGCTTGGTGAGGTGACGCAGCGTGAGTCACGGTGAGATTTGGAAAGGGGGTAACTGCCAGCGCGAAAGCCGCGCAAATAATACCGCAGTTGTAATAACCTGCTTGCGCTTTCAAGAACCCAGTTGGTTTAACAAGATGGAAATAGCTTCCGCCCTTACGTTTGAGTTTAGTTCTGAATCTGATTCGGAAGATGAGTTCATGTCCGATGTTGTATCGATGACCTTAAAAACGAGTAATAAAAAGGCAGCGAGAAGTTCATACATAAAAAAAAGGAAAACTCACGGAGAATTCGCTCTAACCAAAGAATTTAACGATGCACAGTTTAAAAATTATTTTCGACTAAACCGTGATCAGTTTAGTGAAGTGCATGAGATCATCAAGAAAGAAATTTACGCAGAAGGATGTAACGCTACAAGGCCCATCGGGACGGAAGAGAAACTAGCTGTTTTTCTAAGGTAAGTTATTTTATTCGTATTCAATTTATTTCTCTGTAAAATTAGTGATTAATCAGTTCGTCTCCAGTGTTACCCGTAGGGCAGTCGTTCTGTTCCCTATGAATATCAAATGAGCTTAAGAGTGAATGTTCCGAATAGAAACTGGTTGATGTTGATGCTCTGCTGCTAGATGGGGTGGCTGCAGGAACAGAATGTAGAGTATGGTAGTAGGGCTGCTGCTGATCAAGGCTGTGCTGCTGGTGGACAGGAGAACTAATGCCCAGTAACATGGCTTCCGCTTGTGACACTTCGTTGAACAAACGATTTTTAACCATGTGTTGATATGAGGGTGGCATTCGTTTGGTAGACTGGTACATTGCCATAAAAAAATTAAATAGGGGGTCATTTTGAGTTGGTTGTATTTGTTGTAGCAAAGTTCTTCTCTCTTCCATTCTTGCTTTAGCCCTCTCCTCACGTTTCTCAATGCTTTCTTTAAATAGTGTAGCAACGTTATCTTTCTTAAGTTTTTTAACTGCTTTGGGGGTTGCACTGGACGTACGCATTGTAGGAAGTTTTTCTGAAAGTGTTTGAGATTGGGATTCATCCTCCACATTTTCGCTTTGCTGCTCTATGTCCATTTGCTGCAAATTTTCATTGTCTACCTCTACAGCTTCTTCATTGACTTCAAAATCTTGTGATATATTTTCAGTTTCATTGTCTTGGAGGTTTCCTTCTCTAGATTTATTGGCCATATAAGGCTGCAGAAATCCCATCTGTTTTTGAAATTTCCATTCTTTCACAACTTCCGCGCCTGCTCCACTTTTGAAACATTTTTTTTGTCGTCTAATCGCATCTCTCAATGAATGTCGTAGTTTTTCCCATAGTGACTTTGCTTCGGATCCTACAACAATAAATTAACTTCACAGTTGTAATAACATAACCCTTTAAAAATTCTATACAAAAATCAAACATTTAAAAAAAATGGGAAAACTTGGGGGGAATGTGGGAAAAGTGTTAAACCTGTTTCATTTTTTTAACAGATTATTGTATTTCAGATACTTGGCCACAGGAAACAGCTATAAAAGTATGGCGTACAGCTATAGGATGGGTGATCGAACCGTCTCCAATATTGTGCGAGACGTTTCTGAAGCAATATGGAAGCTGATGCAACCAATATATTTGCCCGAACCAACAGAAGAACAGTGGAAATCAGTAGCAGATTCATTTCAGAGAAAATGGCAATTTCCACATTGCATTGGTGCCATTGATGGCAAACATGTGGTCATTAAAAAGCCTGGTAAAAGTGGATCCTCTTTTATTAATTATAAACATACTTTCTCGATTGTGCTAATGGCTGTCGTCGACTCGAATTATAAATTCATCACCATTGATGTGGGGTCCCAAGGAAGATTCAGTGATGGAAACGTTTTCAGCACAGGCGTTTTAGCAAAGAAAATGCTGAATCAAACTTTACATCTCCCAGCACCTAGTGAAATACCTCCACTTGTGGACCCAATCCCGTATGTGTTTGTAGGAGATGAGGCCTTCCCATTATCTGACAATTTGATGCGACCTTATTCTAAACGAGGTGTCATTGATAATTTTGAAAACAAGGTGTTTAATTACAGACTGTCACGTGCACGTCAAACGGTTGAATGCGCTTTCGGTATACTTGCCTCGCGTTTTCGAGTTTTCCGAACACCTTTCGAAATTAAAGTAGAAAGTGTGATTAATGTTGTCAAGGCCGCATGTGTATTGCACAATTATTTAAGGAACTCGTCAGTACCTCACAGTGAAGAGGAATATAATGAAGATATGCCGCAAGATCAGCTGCTCCCATTGCAATCGAGCAATGCTCGAAGTACACGAAAAGCTTTTAAGATTCGAGAAGACTTTACGCATTATTTTAACTCTGCAGGAGCGGTACCTTGGCAGAGGGAAAGTATTGCTAGAGGGAAATATTGACAATTTACAATAAATAAACCGTAAATAAAACTTACCACTCTTCATTCCGATTTCCTTAGCGATTTCCCCCCACTTTTCAGTTTTTAATTTCGTTCTCATGTAGTCTGCATGACTAATATCATACAGAATTTGGCGAATCCGCACGGCTTCGATTAATTTCTCTTCCATTACTTCCACTCACCGTGAATAACTACAAGAAACTGCGGGATCGGCACTGTGTTCCGCAGGATCACGTTAAGCTAAAACTGCGTCACGTCACACTGCTAATCACTATGCGCAAAGGTATTTATTTATTAGGTTCACAAAATCTCACCGTGACTCACGCTGCGTCACCTCACCAAGCTGCGCTTCATTTTGCGCCCGGCCTTACAATACTTTCGCAGTCGAGTTTCTATTTGTTACTGTTAAACTAGTGATGTTAGTAACGTCCGGTAAAGCGGTTTTAGAAGAAGAATTGTTATTTCCGGATTTTCCTCGTCCGCCACCGCGACGGCTCTTTCCTTTTCTCAAACTACCGCCAGATTTTTGAATGTCGTCTCCATCTTCTTGTCCATTCTCATTGATCTCCGCATCGGTTACTTCCTCTTGACAATTTTCGTTTTTAACGTGATTTTTATCGTTCTTTTGCTTCTCCTGTCCACCACCACCACCACCTCCACCACCACCGCCTCCATATCGTTGTTGTTTGTTCTGCTTCGATCGATTCCCTTGATGCACCGGAGTCGAATGAGATACTATACGAATTACGTTTCCCACTGCTTTCGTTCTACCCTATAATTAAATGCAATCTCATTAAATTGTTACTTGAATAATACGAATTGAATATTTACTTCTCTGAACACCATCCTTTGACCGGGCGTTACGTATTCGGGATGTTTGATGAATCTGAAATGGATTAAAGCTTTGTCTCCTGTTCGTAGACAATCCTTCGACATGCTGATTATACTCGCTGTTTGTCTAATACTCCCGCAATGAACTATAATAATAAATTTAATATACAATATGTATATCATATTTAATATAATGAACAATTTATTATAATAATTACCCATCGCTTGATATCGAGAACTGATCGTAGTAGGATGGTGCAACACCAAAATCTCCCCTTCAAATTCCCAGCAAGCTTGGGGGTTCAAAACTGGCGACACCATCACCATACCTTTCCGGATTTGAGATCTCTTTATCTACAACAATTTAAAATTAATTTTACACTTCGATTTAAGTTGGAAAGGATTAATTAAACCTTTTTAAGAGCGAAACTCGCCGTTTGTCCAGCTCGGACTTCTTTCACCGCCATTCGCTTTCTGTGGATACTTTTCACGGCGATCTGCTGGAATCGTCCTAAAGGATCCGGTCCGAGCATTAATATATCGTTCAATTTGATCACTCCCTTTAAAGTTGTACCCGAAACTACGGTACCTACCCCCTAAAATTATAAAAAAATTTAAATTTTAATCGAGAAAATGTAATATACGTACAGGTACTGAATAAGTATCATCAATTTGAAATTCCGCCGGTTCATTTTCGTGATACTCCATCCTTGTAGTTAACAAATTAAGGAAGGTTTTCAAGAGATCCAAGTTTTCACCGGTAACGTTAGATACTTGGAAGATTGGACACAATCTTAAATCAAACAAATCATTATAAAATACTAGAATAAAATCGAAATGGTACCTTTCAGATACGAAATTGGTAGCGCTCAGGACGACATCGTCAGGAGTTTTCACCATAACGGGAACCTTCCTGCATCCGGGCGATTTTAATATTCTCACTAGCATTTTCAGATTATCCTGAAGAATGTTAACGGGGCACATATCGATTTTGGTAACTACAACAAAAACCGGAACGGATAGAGCCAGTGCTAAACCTAAATGCTCTTTGGTCATTCCTATTATACCGGCGTTGGCTCCGACCTATAATAAATATATCATCATTAAGACAAATGTGAATAATAAATTAATATAATAAACGTATACCATTAACATTCCGAAATCCGGAGCGTGTCCCGTCATACCAAACACTGTAGTTTTCAAATATTTCTCGTGACCGGCTAAATCGATGAATGTTATTACCTTTGAGCTCTTTTCACATATTTTCACCCAATCGAGCGATCCGTGTTCTGGTTTGTTAACAATATTCCCTATTAAAAAAAAAACATAATAAATAAAATGTATTTCTACGAGAAACTATACGATTTAATTTACCCTCTTCGTCGAATCCCAATATATCGTTCCCTACCGAACTAGTTCTACCCGATTCCATTTCGTGCTTGTGCCTAAACAGTCTCTGTCTCGCGTGTCCACGTCCATTATCCATCTCTCCATGCGTTAAAACGCCTAATAACGTAGACTTTCCCGCATCTACGTTACCAACGACAGCAACGCGGATCTCCAAAAAATCTACAACAAACCATTCGAAAACGAGATGTTCATCGGAGGTGGTAAAATCGTCTTACCCGATTGATCGAGGACTCGTCTGATCAAATATTGAACGACGCTCCCTCGTATCTCTTTGCGTTCTCTTAATTTCACGCAACTGCATTCCAAAGTATTGGCTAGTGATTGCAAAGTAGCCACAGCAGCGGCCAATTCGTCTTCTAACAGGCCATTTTCGCTGCCATCATCAGAACCACCAATCTATTTAATTCAATCATTTATATCAATATTTATAAGCTAAATTAATTTGTATTAATGTACTATACTACCTCTAAAATCACTTCTCCTCGGCCTTCGCCTAATTGTTGTTTGAGCCTGGTGAGTAACAATTCGTACTGGTCTTCCGATGGGGCTACTAAGACTTTCCCGCTGAGGAGTTTGTCGTAGTCTGTTGATCGTTCCTGTTTCTCCACGAAGGAACTTAGGGATTCTCTGTTCTCCGTCATTACAAATTCGTTTTTTTTTTTCGTGAGTTTGCTGGTAGGTTTACAGGGTGAGCGTAAAAACGTCGATTACACAAAATGTGGCAATGTGTAATAAAAGCATGCTAATCTTCAGAGGATTTTTTTTTGGTTTGTTTGAAAGCTCCCTGTAAAGAGAAAATATGTTAAAGCAATTGAAAACGAGTTAATTAAAGGTTAGAGATAGACGATTAATTTATTGCACAATATATGAATACTATTGCAAATAAGTCCTCACGATACATTTTTACTTGGCATTTGTATAACTTGTTTTAAATTTGTGCCAACATTATTATTCGGTAACAATAACTATAAAGAATATAGTGTACACTAAGTAATGTTTATGTAATTGAATAATCAGTGAAGGGATTTCAATTTTGTTGAATCGTCTTTAATGAAGTGAAAATATAATATTATAATAATAGTAATGTCTTTAACTATTCCTATTGTCTACTATTTAAATACCCCAAAATTTGAAATTTCTACTCACATATGGTAACATAACATCATAATGTTACATCTTACATCAACCAACTATAAGTAAAACTAAATATTAAATAGTTATACGTTTTTAAAAACACCAAAATATAAAAACCCAAAATTATAAACTGTTGATTGTTTTTATAAAAAGTTATAAATAAAATAAATATTTACCAAAAATCAAATATAACAATCAATCGCAACTTCACATTTGACAATGATGACATGACAATGACTAATGTCACTTGTCACTTTCACTTTTGACATTTACGTCATTTTATTTTCCTAACTGTATAACTTACAAGCAAAAGTCACTAAAATCTTGAATGTAGAAGTAGAATTTACAGTGACAGGTGACAACTGACGCTGACATAATCTTGAAATGGTGTAATTATTATTTTTTTTTATTTTTATTGTGTTTATTTTTAAGTTTTCATTTAATTTCGGTCGAAATAATTAACTTCCTACTAATTATCTTCCAATTCTAAAATGTCACGATCGAAATCAAAGCATAACGTGGAAGTTTGCGGAGATTGCGGAGCTTTCGGTACGTGGTTATTAATTACACATTTTTTATTTCCGCCTACAAATCTGTTTTTTATCTCGTAGATGCTACATGGGCCTCTGTAAATAAAGGAATATTGTTGTGTACCCAATGCTGCAGCATCCATCGCAGTTTGGGAAAGCATATTTCCCAAGTAAAATCACTGTTGAAGAATACCTGGCATCCCAATCAATTGAACGTATGTAATTAATATTTTGGGTACAATGTTTGTAGAATTGTTTATTTGGTTTCAGATGGTGTGTACTTTGAATAATAACGGTGCAAATAATATTTGGGAACACGCTCTACTAGAAAATGGTGCCAAATTGATCAAGAAAAAACCCAATGCGAAAGATCCTATTACGTACGTGTTTTTGTTGATTTAAATATTACGTTTTGTGCAATTTAAATTTTTTTTGTAGTGTAAAACAAGAGTACATCAAACAGAAACACCTCCAATGCGCATTTACGTTCAGAGAAAACTACGAAGACGGTTTAATGAGTGTCGAAAATGAGTTGGGTAAACAGCTACATGCCAGCGTGAGGACACCAAATTTGGAAACTTCGTTTCGTCTACTCGCTTTGGGGGCCGATCCTAATTATTTTCACGATGTAAGAGTGTAAAAATATTAATGAATCTCTCATTTAAATGTATTTATTACAGGAAAAAGGTTCAACTCCTCTACACGTCGCCACAAAATCCGATCAAAAACTACAAGTCGAACTGTTATTAGTGTACGGTGCTGATCCCTCTTGTCCCGATAACCACGGCAAAACGCCCATTGATTATGCAAAGTAATTTTATAATAACGAATTGACTGTTGATCAAATATTTATTAACAAAATTTTCAGGGCTCTTCCTAATAAAGATTTGGTGAATCGATTAGTAGAAAACCAGTACGAAGTTACTGATACCTTCAGTTATTATTTGTCTCGCAAAAAACCCGATCACACCAACGGGGTACATTTTTATATACCCCAAGCGGGGTTCAAATCGAATCCGCAATCGTTGTCGAAACTTCAAAAGGTAATTTAAATTAAATTGTATTGAGTAGTAATATACTTGTAGTAATTTTAGTTAAACAATCACGTATTCGAAGAATTGGCTATGGATGTGTACGATGAAGTAGATAGAAGAGAAACGGAAGCTAGTATGTAATCGTATTTATTTTATACTATAATTTAATGCAATTTTTTTTTTGTGTGTATAGTTTGGCTAAGTTGTGCGGACACAACCGATCTAAACGATGTTCCATTTCTTCCGGTCGATAATACTCTATCGACTACCAGGAATCAAGGGAGACAGAAATTGGCCAGATTTTGTACACCTGAGTTAAAGAGTCTAGTATATGATATTTTAGTCGATACACAGAGGAGGCAGATGGTTTCTGACAAAAGTTAGATAATAACAAGTTCAATACAAATAATACAAAATATGTGTTAACCGGTCTCGTTTTAGGTGTAATGCAGTTACGAGAAACTTTGGTTGACGAGGATCCTTTATACGATTCTGTTGCTTCAGATGACGATTACGCTTTAGTGCCCGATGATGAGGTACATTTACAATAACTACATATTACTAATTTCATAAATAATCTAATGGATTTATTTACATTAGAAACCCATGTCACCTTTGCCAGAGAAAATAGATTCGACCGATAAGGAGGGCGTATTGTCCTTGGAGAATATCAATAAAACCAATCAAATTTTGGAGCAATTGACGAAGCAATTGAAGAACTCGGATAACACGATCACCGATCTTAGACAAGAAGTGCTAAAACTGAGAAAGTGCGTTAAAGAATTACAAACGGAGAATACGGAATTAAAGAGTAGATTGTCGCAAGGGAAATGTACAAGGAACAACGGAGACAACGGATTCGAATCATTGGATTACATTTCAGAGGTAAATAGAATGTACTATTTTTTGTTTGATCTATCTGAGTTGTTTGTATAGAGTACTGATACTAGTGAAAGTATAAGTAACGGGATATCAGCCGATGAAGTGGATCTTAGAAGAAATAAAAAAAGCCAAAGACCGACTAGCATGTACGAAACGAGAGAAGGTATTAGAAAAGTGCCATATTGGCACGCTGCGAAATCTCAGGTATTTCTTCACGTATTCCTTTATTTACAATATCCATTCGATGGTTGCTGATGTTTTGATTTATTTTTCAGTTGAAACAAAACGAGCCGAGAGGCACTCAAAGTTTATATTCTTCTCCGCAAAATAGAGAAACGATTTTACAATGTACTGAACACATTACTAGAACTATTCAACAGTTGTGCAAATCGATTCAAGAACCCGATAAAGAGGATTGCGTTACGAGTGCTGAGAAAGTGAAAATGTCGATTGTAAAATTGGCGTCAGTACTGCCAAAGGTAAGTAAATATTTTGTATAAAATATTAATTATAAATATGTTTTTTTTTTTTTTTTTTTTTAGTTGCAGGAAACAGAAGGGGAACGATTGAAATTGATGCTCGAATTGGGCACGAGATTACAGCCGGAATGTTTATCTCTGCAAACGTCTCACCAGAACAACGATGTTAAACTCGTCGAGCAACATTTCGTGAATATTAGAGATATTGCATTTCATCTTGCCAAATTTACTAAAGACGTTGTAACCAAATATTCGTTTAATCACTAGTTTTATTATTTAACGATACGCCAATCTCAATTTTATATTTAACAATTGTTTTATTCCACTATACTTTACGATGTCTATGGTAATTTTCAAGTTTTCGAACAGGAATTGTTATTCGAAAAAAAAAAAGTAATTGCATTGAAATGTACATGGAAAGTATTTCATATACGTATTACTAGTTTAACAGTATTTAATATTCGACTCATTTTTTTTCTATTTTTTACACGGTCGTATTTAATTATCGGGATGTTTTGAAAACTATTATGTTTATGAAATTTTTATTGGATTACTTGTATTGAAATTGTACATTATTCGTAAAATGAATGTAAATAATTTGAATATATTTCCTATACAGGTAATTATATTGGCGGGCGCGCCTGAAATATATTTTTTACCGATTACTATCGATGATAATTCGATTGAAATTGATTATTTTTATATTGCTTCGATAATATACAGACTAAAAACTTGATGTGCAATTATTATTACGATGGTGCATTATTTTGGATATAAAACTAAAAATGTTTAAACGTTATGAAAGAAATATACAAAATATAATAGTGATAATGATGTAGTATTAAAAATAAATTTTTATACTAAAATATCTATTTCATTGCCTTCGACTAGTTATATAACATATTGTAAAATACTTAATTCTGTAAGTAATAATTTGAAATTAGTTTCACTTGTTTTTAACATATGTAGTATCCAACAAACTGTTCTTTTGACATAAAAATTGATAAACAGCGTGATTTATTTTCAATGAAATTGAGCGAACGAGAACCCTGCTAATTTCCAATTATTCGCTGTCGCTTTGCAGTTTCAAGTTGCTTTAAATTCTTACCAATTTCTGGTGTGATTCATTCGACATTCGATAAATTACTACGGCAATTGATTGAAACTATTTTATAATAGTCGCATCCGGTGTGCGTAGAGAAGTTTAATATTAGTTGTAAACTAGTTACAGAGACTAAACTAGATTGCAATCATTATTTCAAAACGGTTGCTCCGTGAACGGTGGGCTTAAAGAAGGTAAATTTTTGGATATTATTGACCGTACTAACAGAATCTAACGGAACGTACGCACCACGCATATCACAAACCGACCGGTTTCCATGAACAATATTCATAGCAGTTTGAGCAGTTAGTTTAGCAGTTTAGCAGTTCGACTTGCGCCCGAACGGCGTTCGCTCGGTCACGCCATCGAATCGAATCCGCTCGCTTCGCATTTCGCATTAGTTTAGTTCGTTTCCGTCCGTTCGACGCGCTAAACCTTAAAAGAAAGAAAATAAAATAAAATAAAAAATAAATAGTTGATAAATATGGCGTCGGCATTCCGTTACACGCACGCCGTCGTCAGTCGATTACCGGCGTCGTTGCGACAACGCGTCGAAAATATCGATATGGACGAGGCGAAAAAACAACACGAAAATTACGTTCGTTTGTTGCGCGAAATCGGTCTCGATGTTATCGAATTACCGCCTGACGAGGAAATGCCGGAGTGCGTCTTTGTCGAAGACACAGCCGTTGTTTGTAATGGAACGGCGCTCATCGCTCGACCGGGCGCTGCCCATCGGACGCGAGAAGTATATATGCATGCCTCATATCTTTCATCTATACATATAATATCTTCTTCTTCTTCTTCTTCTTCTTTATTTCTACTCTATCTAATTCTATATTCGTGTTGTTAATCGATATCTGGTTAATTAATAGGGTTAATTGGGTCGAATGAGATGAACGAAGGCGTAAAAAGCCTCTCTCGAATATTCATTGATTAGATTGGATTTCGTTTTTTTTTTTTTTCTATGCGCTCGAATGACCAATTTTTGTTGTATACACATCTGCACGTTTCGAACCAGGTGTTAACTTTTCGTATCAATAGAACCTATTCGAGTCGATTATAAATTAACTGGGGAATGCTATATAAATGTTTACTAAAAAAAAAGCACTTTTTATCCGGCAAATCTGTATACCTTTACGTAATCGCCTTCATCAATATTCATAAAGGCGTTCTTTATTTCAATTTTAGAACACAAAACAACTTTCGCGTGAAATTCTACATATTATTCACAAACCGTGCACTTTAAACTTAAATACAGATTATAGTAATTGGTAACTAGTATTATAGTATGAATTTACCTCTACTTTTAGGTGGAAACCATCCGAGTGGTCTTAAAGAAAGAACTAGATTTACCAATTGTAGAAATGTCCGATTCTAAAGCTCGATTAGAAGGCGGAGACGTGCTATTCACAGGTAATAAATATCTTTAAAAATACAGAGAAATACTTACGCAAATAATTTAATAAAATTATAGTGAATTAATTTTGTTGTTTAATCATTTAGGTAGGGAATTTTTCGTGGGAATCTCCCAATGGACAAACGAGGCTGGAGCGAGAGCGGTGGCTGCGGCTTTTCCAGAATTCCCTTGTACGCCGATCAAGGTACGGTAAGCATTAAACCATAAAAATAATTCTTAGAAAATTTAGTTTTATTATTTTTAAGCTTATTTTACCATTAGTCCCATTAGCGTTTACAGATAAATGCAAATTTATTTGCAAAGAGTGCAAAAAGTACAACTTTTATTATTTTCTAAAAGAAAAAGATAGTATACCTATACCTATCTAATGGCATTGTGTGATTGCAATTTTCTCACTTTAACCCACAACCCACTATTGTGTATTGTATATTAATCTTTCTTAGTTCAAAAGTAATATTATATACGTATAATTTTGCACTGATCTGTACATTTTTTTTGAATCCACATCTGAACTGTTAATTAAATAGGCCAAGGGATTTAGACGATACAACAGAGCGGATATTTAAATTGAATACACGTTGAGTACGTGCTCAGCTCGTCGATAAATCCTCGTCGTGTTACAATGGCGTATTATCCAATTCAAATTAAGATAGTCTGCGTTTTTCATTTTGTGTCCCCTTTTCGTCAATTAAATTATGTAATTGATTTATTCATCGCCGTGTCGAGTTCAGAGGTCGCACGAGAATTTAACAGTGTAGGCCAAGATAAGAATAATTTGCTCTAATTGTTGGAACGAATTATGAATCTTTGATGTAGATAATATGTTTAATTTGTTTTCTCTCTAGTTTTACAAATTTTGTATGTTCTTAATTTAGGTTAACTTTAGGTAAACCTTCTGAGAATATTTTTTTCTTGATTGTAATAGAATTCACGCCCTAAAAATAACGTGTTAAAGTCACATCCCAATTCAGTAACATTTTCTCATTCAGGTGCCCGAACCCAAACACCTAAAATCCTACATAACGATGGGAGGACCGGATCTTCTATGCGTCGGAGGCGGTAAAGAGGCCCAAGAAGTACTAAAAAGGATGGAAAGAGAGGCCACTTTTAGTTACGGTGTCATAACACTACCAGAAGACGATGCCGCCAATGTTCTCTATTTAAACGGAACTCTGGTACATCGCAGCATCGAGGAGATACCACGATCTTTTAAAGTAACTTCACAGAAAATTCGAAATTTGTTATTTCTTAATAAAAAAATCTCCTCAGATATTCGGTGAAAAAGTGGATTATCCGAGACGATCGATCAACTTCTCACAGCTAGCATCGAAGTCCTGCGGTTTGTCTTCGAGTTGTATATTAGTTCGAAGAACTCGCCACATTAGAAACCTCTAAAATTACGGTAAAATTTGATAAAAACTCGACTCGATTTCGGAGAAAGGATATTTTTTTTTCAACGGGCTGTTTGCTATGCTACCAAAGTCGTACAAAACGATGAGTATTATTTGAAATTGTCATTCCATTTTAGGGCTAGGTTTTTTTTAATGTACCTACTTTTTTTTACCAAACAAAATGCTACAGTGATTTTTAGACATTCCAATTTTCGTTTACAGCATATTTTCCTTTGGAAAATTATTGAGTTTTTATTGGCTCTCTAAACAAAATAATAATTTCGAAATTAATATATTCGATAAAAAGGAATAAGCAATCTACAATATATTTTTATGAATTTATAACTATTATAACTAAATTGGGTTTGAGCATATGCGTGATGTAGATACCTCTAATAGATGTTTTGAATAAATTTAATTCTCGTTATAAATGAATCTCATCTTTAAATAAATAATAATTAATGCTCCATCATCAGTATATCTTTTATGTCAATCCTATATGGAAATAACTTAGGGTTTATTGAAGAATTGTGAATTCTCCATTGCAATATTCTCCATGCAATTTAGTAGATTTAATACGCCCGCGTTCTACTAGCTGTAAATATAAAAAAAATCGCAAATTTTGAAATTTCTCGGCTCGTAGAACGCGGTGGATTCGAAAAGATTTGTTGGATTTATTCCCGATATCTGTGGTATTTAAAGTTGAAAATTATACATGTTAAATTTGATGTTTAGATATGTATTTATGTCTATAACGCATATAAATTATTATATTTATTATCTCAGTGGCAAATAGCAAATAAAAAAACGTATAAATGGAAACAAACGACTGTTAAATTGCTGTAATAATTAAGTTATACTTTGTACAAGATTACCCAGTTACTTCTGGGTGTAAAATTTCACTGTAATTTTTCGTATACGGAATAATAAATATTCAAACGATCTCTACTTATTCTTAAGACACCTTGTATACATATATTTTTTAATCATATATACAATAATGTGAAAATTAATTATTCTGCGAGGTAACTGTTATACAACTATTACCAAGGCCAGAATCTATTTAAAAAAAGAAGAGAAAGGTCTGGCCGAATACACGTGGCAGCTGAGGCCAAAATTTATGAAGAAGAAGAGAAACGGCTGGCCGAATAGCTCTGACAGCTCAGGCCAATAATTTATGAAAAAGAAGAGGAACGGCTGGCCGAATAGCTCTGACAGCTCAGGCCAATAATTTATGAAAAAGAAGAGAAACGGCTGGCCGAATAGCTCTGACAGCTCAGGCCAATTGTTTATGAAAAAGAAGAGAAACGGCTGGCCGAATAGCTCTGATAGCTTAGGCCAAGAGTTTATGAAAAAGAAGAGAAACTGGCCGAGAGGCACTGGCAGCTGAGGCCAAGAAATTATGAGAAGAAGAAGAGAAACGTCAAAAATATTTAAGGTTATATCGTTTGTTTTTGTTTCATAATTCAAATTTTGTCAAATATTACCAACAAATTCATTAAATATTCCAATTTATATTTTCGAATCAAGTTTAATGTGAAACATTCGCCATTCAAATTCATCAATTATGCTAACATTACACGAAGCTGTTAGAAAAAACGACCTTAAAATAGTCAAAGAATTCGTCGAAGTGCTGCAGCAGGAAGAAATGTCCGTTAATTTAGTGGACCAAAACGGTTATACCCCTTTACACATAGCTACTCTACACGGTTATAAAGAAATAGTAACATTATTGCTAGAGAAAGGCGCTAATATAAACCTATCCATATCCGATAACATCGAAACTCCTTTATCATTAGCTATTAAGAAAGGTTACGAGGACATCGTAAAATTGCTACTACACAAAGGAGCCGACATTAATCAAAGACTCCCAAAGGGCTACGCTCCTCTACACAGCGCTATTAAAGCCAAGAACTTTAACATTATTAAAATGTTAGTGGAGGAAGGGGCCGATGTGAATCTGAGGGATGTATCGCACGGATATTCCTCTCTACATTTCGCTGTGATATTTTACAACGAAGAAAAACGACTGAAACGTCCAGTGGGTCACCAACTCCAATCCAAACAAACCAAAGCTACTATTAAAAACACACAAACTACATTCGATTTCTATACCAATGTTATAGAATTTTTGCTCTCCAAAGGAGCCGATATTAATATAACAAATTGGGATGAAGAAATTCCCTTGCATTGCGCCGCCAGGCAAAATCAGATACAAATGATTAAATTTTTAATGGAGAAAGGTGCAGATAGTACGATGGAATCCTCCGACGGAGACGCCCCTGTAGATCTTATCACAGACGATAATTGCGTGTACGAATTCATCAAATACATCGCTTTACATAATCAAGCGCTCAAAAGAAAGAATAAATGCCATTATCAAGTGTGGTTGGATTGTAAATACGAAATAGAAAAAATGAAACGACGTACCATCGGTAATAGTAACGTAACGTGGTTGGATTTCCTGCAACAAAACGACGATAACCTTTTGGAAGCTTACTATTGTAATTACATTATAAGAAACCATTTTGGTTCCGATGAATATAAAGCTATTTTTCCCATATACGAAACGATGCTGGAGGATCAAATCGAAAGATCGGAGAGGAGATATCTCTTAACGAAAGACATTATGACTCATTTTTACCAGCAATTGCCAATCGAAGATTGTTGGAGGAAAATATTGCAGTATGTTAATACGAACGATTTGGAAAAATTTGTAAATGCTATTTACAGGAGTGCCTAATTAATATATATCACGTCCATTTTATAATGTTTTTTTTAAATCAACGTTAATTGGATTAATTGGGTATATATAGAGTGTGTAACAAAAGAGGTGCTTTATATTATAGAAGAAGATTTATTAAACACTTTTGTAGTTATAGGTTTTAACAAGGTAAGGGTATCCTCACATATTATTTAAATATTTCATAAACTAGTAGGAAATTAGTTGACCTCTGGCGTATTTGGAAAAAATCTGTTCCCAAAATGAGTACATATCTTCCTTGGGGTTCCTTCTCAGTTCCAACCATGAACCTACAGCCATGTATTGGAAATCGTCGGGTTTCACCGTCGGCCAGGTGATATTATGCAACAGCTCGATGGGGTCGGGTGTTGGATTTCTATAAAATTAACCCAATAAAAACTTACTAATTTTTCTAATATAAACTTACAAATATTTAGCGAAATCGGTGAACATCTTGATGAACCTCTTCTGTACCAGTTGATCCATTAGCGGATATTTGGAGAGATCGGTGGTGTTTAGGCCACCGTAATTACGCCGGTAAATGTAGCTCATTTCTTCGCCGTGTCTTACGTCTTCGGAAAATCCAACAACTATAAAATTTAATAAATACGTTTAATATGTACTATTGAATTATTTTGTTAATAAATTTCCACCTGAATCATCGGTGTAGGAGCCCAACACGCCGTGGTATTGGAATTCGTAGAAATAAACGTCCGAGTATTTCGATTGTAATTCCGCCGTCTTTATTATAGATCTGGCAAAACTTTGGTCAGAGTAATACTAAAAAGAATAGGTTATATAAAAAAAAACATTTTAAAGTTATATTTTATCTCACCTTAATGAGGCTCCTTTGGCTAACTGCGAAAGGTAGATAAGGCGAGTAAAAGTCTTTGATTTTTTTCGCTATCTCGGCTTTACTCGAATTTTCCGCGTTCAAACCTCTCGGTACTAATATCAAATTATCATCGTCGACTCCCTTGGCTGTTTTAGGGAATCTTTCATCTACAAGAAAAACCGTTAGGTAAGTACCCTTCGAAACCAATACAAAAATAAAATAGACTCTACATATAAACTACACCTGTTACGTAAAACAAAGACTCCTCAGAATTCACCCCCATAATCATTTTCACATCGTTTAATTTCCCATCTCGCACCATCTCGAACATCGACTCGGTGATGAATGCCCCCTCGTGCTCGCATTCCACCACAGGCGCGAAATAGAAACCAATTTGGATCTGATTATCAGCCGGGCTCTCCTGCAAAACCGCAATAAAATCAAGATACTCTCCGATCCCGATGCTCTAGCAGAGTTCATACCATTTTATCAATCACGTGTGCCGCTCTATCGATGGTTTCCGCAGGAAGGGCTTTCAGAAAGTCCCTGATTTCCTGCGAAGAAGGGCTCTTCGCCGCGAAATTCGAATCGATGATCTCCAGCAAACGATTGGTCATGTAGGTGTAGTTCGTTTGGGAGGCCCAAGGGCACAGGGCCGTACCGCTCTCGGCTATGCCCGCCCTAAACAATCCTGCAACAAAATCAGATGCATTTCAGATTTCACATGCAGAGTATAATTACAAATAAGGTATATTTAAAGCCTTACCCTTTGATTGAGGGCTCAAGACGTGGTAGTGCACCGAAGCTGACCCAGCACTTTGTCCCATTATTGTAACTTTATCGGGATCTCCTCCGAAGTATTGAATGTATTTATTAACGAATTTTAGGGCTAGTAATTGGTCTTTTAAACCCGCGTTTCCAGGGATGATTGTGTCACCAGTGGAAAGAAAACCTGTGATAATTACGTAAATTTAAAAGCGAATAAATTAAATTAAATGGTATAATCGAGTACCGAATGGTCCCACTCTGTAATTAAATGTAACATAAACGACATCGTAATCCATTAAATGGTCTGGACCGACGTTGACATCTGCAGATGAGCCTTCGATGAAACCCCCTCCGAACATGAACACCATAACGGCCAGTTTTGAATTCAATTTGGGATCCTAAAAGCGCACCATTGAGAATCCTATTCAATAGTTATTTTTGAGGAAAGATACTTTTGGGGTAAAAATGTTGATGAAGAGACAATCCTCGGATCCATCGACGTGGTCCTGAGTCATCTGCAAGCAGTAGCTGCGTTCTTCTGTGGCATCTAATGTGTCGTTCCATGGTGATTTCATTTTTGGAGCCTATGAAATTTTATTAATCAACCAATTAAAAAATGATCTAGTGGAGTGTGTTAGAGGGTTTAATTACCTGAAATCTGTATTCATTTAGAGGTGGTTCAGCGAAGGGCACGCCTTGGAAAGAATACAAAGTCACACCAGTAATGGTGGTCCTGGTCTTTCCCTTTAACTTTCCAAGAGGAAAGTCCAAGAGGTACTCGTCATCTCCTCTCTGTAAATAACCGTTAATTTCCATTATTGTGTAATAATTTAATTAACTTACTTACCACTAAAGTGAAGAGAAGACAGTTTAAAATCAACACACACCACTGCATTATTTCTAATAATAAAAGGAATTTGCAATCAATGTATTAAGTGGGTACGTGTGCTTATAAGATAAAAAGGATAAAATATTATTAATATACTACATAAGATGTGATAATTATTATCAGAAATAAATTTGCATTAATTCACACAGTTTCATAATAAGTCAGGTAATTTTCAATTTCAATCTTCTTTCTAATTTTCTTCGATGGCAAAAGTCTAATGGCGGCATCGGTGTTTTGATGGTCGTGCATAAATGAGCAATTCCTGATTTTCTAGTAAAAAAAGAACCATTTATTCAACGTGATTTATTGCACTCTTTCGCACAATTTAAATTACCGTGAATTGTTTGAGTTTCTCGTCTTCGTACAATTCGTGCAAAACGAACTCATCGTTTCTGCAATGCTGGCACAAGTACTCGTTGTAATCCACGTGCCAGTAGTCGGCCTCGCAGATTTTCCGGCATTTCTCGCAGGAGTCCTGTGGTTTTTTCACGCAGATTATTTCTACCGAGTTTACGGCCGCCGGTACGCCGAAATTGTCCATAAATTTGGATCTGCGGCATTTTATTCGCTTGGTAGCGTTATACGTACCGGGACTTAAAATAATTACACTATCAGCTTTCTCCCTACCTTTTTTTGTATGTTATAATAGTATAGTTGTGTTGAGGCTTACCCAGGGTTGTTGTTGTATTTGTTGTTTCTAATTTTGCTGGTAGAAGAAAAAGGTGCGGCGTTTTGTTTGAATTTCGTTGAAAATTTACAGGTATTGTATCTTCCCGGTGAAGGAATAGAGAAACTGAGCCAGTGTTTGAAACGCGGAGCAGTGTAACAAATCGGAGCCATTCCTAATTTGCTCCTTTTCTGAAACCCCCTCAATATCAATAAAACATTTCCTAATATATATCTACTTTTTCACCAGCATATTCTATACCTTATTGATGTTGTCGTGGAAAGCAGAAGAGTTTTTCTCGATAGTGTAACATCCCGGCGCGACATCAGGAAACACCTCGCGCGTTTGCATCCTCTGCTGTGATGTAAAACGGTTCGATTCCATCGAACCGAAGCACAGACGATGGCATTTTTCCACTTGCACCACGTACTCGAATTCGTCTAAAATCGAATTCGATTTATCCGGAGAATTAGACGCGATCTCCGGCGACATGGTCGCGAAAATGGGGCGCACAAATATAACCCGGCTCGAGCTCGAGCTGGTCCCCTTGCGTGCGGCAAAAAAATTATCGTGACTTTCGATATTAATAAAAATTGATGGGGTCGGGGAGACGAGGTTGTGATCGAAAAAATTGCGCGATGGGATCCGGATATCGGGGCTAGGTACCTACCATATCGGTCCTGAAGGTTTTAGATTCGATTTGTTTTTTTTTAAGGTAATATTAGACGGGGTGAAATCGCGATGGTATTAGCGATAAATTAATTTCTGTTTATTGGAATCGATATTAGAGAAAGGTGCTTAAATTTAGAGTTGGTAGAAATTATCTCGAGTGTTTTGAACTGTGGATATTAAAGGTAGATAATATCAAGTGTTTTTTCCATCAGTTTAGTGCTTGTGAAATATCTAATTATGTATATGCATCATGAAAACATCACTAATTTTGTTTATTAATTTTCTGGCATTAGCTGTAAGTACTTTTTGCTACCTTCTCAATTATTATTTGTTGCTCTAAATTTTCTTTAGAAAGCCGGTATACTTGTTAAAATACCCGATGGACGATTGAGAGGAAGAATAGAACATTCCAGCAGGAATATCTCCTTCTTTGCCTTCCAGCAAATTCCATACGCCAAACCCCCGATTGGGAAACTTCGATTTAAGGTACAATATATTAACAATTAAGCTTATTCTCTATTAATTTTCAATTATAAGGATCCGATACCGGTGGATAAATGGAATGGAGTGCTAGATGCGACCAAAAACACAAAATTTTGCTACCAACAAACCAATCTTTACAACGTTCAGAACTTGAGTCGATTCGAAAACGAAGATTGTCTGTATTTGAATGTCTACACGCCAGTTGTAAGTTCAAATGTGTTCATTTTGTTTTATATTATGAACAAATTTCCACTGATCTGTACAATTTTAGGACCCATCATCAAATGCCAGTCTACCGGTAATGTTCTACATTTATGGCGGTGGATTCGTCAGCGGGGCGTCGAATTTCGAGTTTTTCGGGCCCCATTATCTCATGGAAAACGGGGTGGTTGTCGTTACGATAAACTACAGAGTGGGGCCTTTCGGTAAGCCTTCTTTTCAACGTATAAATAATCACATTATTAATATACTAGTGAATTGATAATCAGGATTTATCAGTACTGGCGATGCGGTAATACCGGGAAATTTCGGTTTGAAAGATCAGTTGCTGGGATTGCATTGGGTCAGAGACAACATAGCTTATTTCGGGGGCGATCCGAATAAAGTAACGATTTTCGGACAAAGCGCCGGCGGGGCCTCCGTTGGGTTTCACCTCATAAGCAGGAAATCCAAAGGTTTTTATACACACACAAAAGGTTTAATAATACATTGGATATATAAAATTTTTTTTAAATAGGTTTATTTAGGGCCGCCATTTCTCAAAGCGCTTCTATACTATCCCCTTGGGCGTACCAGAGAATATACAAAGCACTGGCTTATAGAGTAGCCTTTTATATCGACAATAACTTCGATAAAGCTTCTACTAGCGAAGAATTGTTAAAGTTTCTTCAAGATGCTCCGGCCAGCGAGATAAACAAAGCCGGACGGGATATACCGGTAAGTTTCTTCTTTCCTTACATGGTCTCTTACGAAGATTTGTAATTTTTTTTAGTCGGGCTACGAGCAAATAACCGATGGGTTTCTGTACACCCCAGTGATCGAGGCCGAAAGCGAAACAGCTTTTATAACCGAGAGGATGTTTTCTGCACTGGAAAACGGACACTTTAATCGTGTTCCTCTTATCATTGGTATTTGCTCTGAAGAATCCATTACAACAGCTTCGAGTATAGTAGACTTTTACATCTTCTTAAGTACACAATGTAATAAATTTGTGTTTTAGATATGGAGGATTTTCTAAAGCGCGTGAAGCAATTCGACGAGGATGTGAGCAAATTGGTGAACCCCAATATGCACATAGAAGACAAAGAAGGTGAGATTCCTGCCGGGAATGCCATAAGGAATATCTACACCAATGGCACGTTGCTGCAGAACAACTTGGGCAAGGCAGTTAGAGTAAATATCACCTGTTTGTTCCGAACAGAATGTAAAATATATTTTCGTGTTTTTTTTTAAGTATTACAGCGACACTTCTTTTAGTAGAGGCGTAATCGAACACGCCCAATTGCAATCGAAATTCAGCGATGTGTATTTTTATCAGTTTTCTTATTATGGGAAAATAATCGGTGATAGACCGAATGTTCCAGGTGAGTCGAACAAAAAAACCCTCTATAACATAATAAATAATATTATTATGTGTAATTCAGGAGCTGCTAGAACAGGGCATTCCGATGACAATTATTTCATTTGGGCAACTGGAAATTTAACAAATCTGGATAGTTTTCCACGATCTGATGTTGTAACAAGCGAAAGATATAGAGCTTTATTTACGAATTTTGCTAAATATTTGTATGTACACAACGAATTAATAGTTAATTTGTATTAAATTGGTGTTTTTTAGGGACCCCATACCGGAGGAAACGAAATTATTAAACGTTAAATGGCCCAAAGTGCATCCGGACAAATTCCAATATATAGATATCAATGAAACTTTAACAATTAAAATAAATCCTAAAGGGGATGTATTTCCCGAGTGGGTTGATGTTTATAACAAATATGCTATAAAACCGTACGATACATTTTAGAAACTAGTTTATAAAACATTCATGTTTTGTAGAAAATTATTGTATTTTCCAAACAAAACGTATATTAAAAAAATAATAGATAAACAATTCAACTTAAAGTTACGATTCTCTAATACATTTCATTCCGTTTTAGCTTTAGTTTTGGGTTTTTTCAATTTCTTTAAACCGTCTAAATTGCCTTTCAATAGATTACTGTAAGCGACCTGGAACTTGTTGATATCTTTTTGATGAATAACTGTGGCGATTTTCTTCGATTTTGATCGGGCTCTAACTAAACACATTTGTTCTTGAGGTTCTGGAAGAGGTGGTTTTCCAGCTCTTGGAATTGGTCGATTTTTACCATTATCTGGAATCGTTGGATATATAAGTATAACATTATATGAATATACTGTATAGTTTTAAAAGTTCCATCAGATAACACGTGTTAAAATCCAAAATTTACCTCAATTATAGGCTACTTACATCTTTTAAATGTCATTGTTACTGAACTATCTAAACGAGCTTTTTGGAATAACTTCGTCAACTCCAACAAAAACTGGAAAAAAAATTGTTATTTTGTAGAAATATAAGATCGTTCTTTGTCATAAAATATCCATACCAAGTCATTTTCTAGTAAAACCATTGTAAAAATGAATTAAAATTCAATCGAATCCCTGATTTCCACATATGTTTTCGTTAGAAAAAATTGACACGTGACATAAGACAATGACATTGACGTAGTTGACATTTGTTAAAAACTTGAGACCAATTTAGCGTTGCATTTAATTATAAAATAAGAAGGTAATTACATTTATTCCATCATTTAATGAAACTAATGGGTAATATATTAATAATTTTATTTAGAAAATTTTTTACAAACGAACAACCTTTGAGTACGTTTGAACTACTACTTCTTCTTCTTCTTTTAAGTTTTTGGTCTCAGCTGCCAGGGCTATTCGGCCACTAGTGTCACTACGTTTGAACTACTGTCACTAGAATGACATGACACTATTGACAGTATTGACAAGAGACGTTTGCGGTCGCTTTCGGAACTAACTCTTTTTTTAGCCGTGTTTATAAAAGTTGCAGACTATTTCGATAATTTCGAAATAAATCGCAGGTAATTTACATTTTTTAAAACCATCGGTAAACGATTTCACCAGAAATGTCCAACGAAATGTTTCCGCTATAGAATCGCGGCGATATTTATTTACGAAACCCCGTATTTTGCGAGCAAATTCCTTCAAAGACCGTGAATGTTTTGAGGTTTTGTTTCTTGGATATTTCACTGCTTAGCTGTGTTACCGTATTATAAAAAGCTTTTTCATAGTATAAATATCCTGAGGTAGTTTAATTTGTATAGAAATAATACGTATAATGTGATTTTTAAAGATTTTTCTAATTCTAACCCTACTTTTTATCTTGTGTGTAATAACATGTAATATTTTTGTTTTAGCCATGGTGCGTATGAACGTATTAAGCGACGCTCTAAAATCCATTAACAATGCCGAGAAAAGGGGCAAAAGGCAGGTACTGATTCGTCCCTCATCGAAGGTAGTAGTTAAGTTTTTAACTGTAATGATGAAACATGGTTACATCGGTGAATTCGAAATCGTCGACGATCACAGAAGCGGCAAAATAGTGGTGAATTTAACCGGACGTTTAAACAAATGCGGCGTTATTTCACCTAGATTCGATGTACCCATAACGCACATCGAGAAATGGACAAATAATTTGTTACCATCTCGTCAGTTTGGGTAAGTTAACGAAGATCTTTTGTATGATCGGGAATATTAAAATAATAGCAAATTTTGCATTATTTAAAAGAGGAATTGATGTGAATAATTAAACCCTGTGATATTTGAGTAATTTTGATTGTAAATGCGAAATTTCTTGATGCACACAGGAAGATAATTTTAGGAAACTCGTGTTGATCTAAATGAATATTCAATTATGTCATTTCAGCTCCGTTTTTCTTAATACAATACAAATTAATTGTTGAAATCTATTTTATTGTTTATTTAAAAATGTTAATATTTATTATTTTGTTTTAGTTATGTTGTATTAACTACTAGCGGTGGTATCATGGATCACGAAGAAGCCAGAAGGAAACACCTGGGAGGAAAGATCCTTGGATTTTTCTTCTAAATATAGTTAATAAAATTTGTTTAAAAATATAATTTTTAATTTATCCTCGAATTCTGTTCAAATTTTTTACCCTAAAATACTTGTAGTATCGAATGAATGAAGGAACCGATTGTATAGAGGGTCGATTTTATTTTGAAAAGGAGTACAGCAAACTTTTGAAAGTTTTTAAATGAAAAGTAGAAACCCAATTTTGTTCCATTAAATCTATTTCTCAAAATTATTCAGGGCTTCTTTCTAACGCTAATCTATCGTTTAGAGTCTAACGTAAACAATGCCCTTAGTTACTCCATAACAACAACGTAAAAGTGTCAAGTTAAAGAGATTGATTTTTGTAAACATTAAATTAGCGTTACGTTAAAAAATAAACGTTGAATAAGGGCAATAAAACATCCTAGATACGCCCCTGTGACCGAATCGTGCACATATCAAATTCATTTATTTCGCTCACCTGCACGCTAGATGTCTCCGCCTGTCGCTAAACAATTCAATCAAGTCGGCCGTGTTACCTGAAGCGCATTGCTAGCCTGTGGCGCATGCGCGAAAACTTTCAACACGGAATCACGGAAAACATGCAGTTCGTAAACCTGCATTTGCGACGTCACGCGTGTACGTTGCTTGGCGTTCGGTCCCCTTTTTCTAAACGCGTTTGCCGCATCTAACTAATGATGGTATCGAAAACAAACTAAAAGTGCGTTAAAGTTTTTTCTACGATTCGGAAGAGGCGCGATTGAATGATAGAAAAGATGTGAGTAGGCCGTGATAGCTGTCAAATCACGTCCGGTGAACAAACGCATCTTCTTCCACAGGTGTCAACGAAACTTCTCCGCGAGTTTGGAAAAGTCGGTGCAACAAAGAAACAATAATGGTGCGTGCAGTGCGGCGGTTATTTAATTTAAATTTATTTATGAAATAGACAGATGAATATGAATAGACTCTAAAAGTGATTCGTTTGCGATAATAACATGGGAGTTAAAGAGCGGCCGAAGAAACCTTTCAAGTGGCATTTTTTTATCCTTCTTTTGGTGAACTTTCTCCCTTCGACTACGTCAGGTATTTATATCCACTCTTGTTTTACTTACTTAACTCTATTTAGGTCGTTTTATTGGTGCTTAATGCACCAGCGTTTGGATTTAACCGAGCGTATAAACTCTGTGTGTATTTCGGTTTACCTTGGGAATACTCGATATGCAGAATTGCATAATATTACTCGCGCTGATGCAGGTGCCCGAAGAGGTGACTCAATAGTTATCGAGAAAAATGAGAATTTAAAGGAATTCGCGCACCAGCACCAGTACCGCAAGGAATTTTGTTAGTATCTTCTAACCTAAAATTCAACAAAAAAACCGTTATTAATTTTTATTACGCATGATTTTATCTATTTTATAACCCTTTAGTATAACTTAATCGAGCAATTTGATTCGCTAGACTCAACGACGTCACTTCTTTATCACTCGAGTATGCTAGTAGGTCGTGGATTTGACATTTAAGTGTCAAGTTGATAAATCTGAATTCGCCCATAAAATCTAGTACTCCAAAAATACCGGTTTTTTTATATCCAGTAATTTGAGAACATCCTGTATAATTACACATAAAAAGTCCAACAGATACCTACTTGCTTTAAAATGCCTTTATTGCAACTATCGTCTAAGCCTAAGCATTTGTATATAGTGAAAAATATCGAGTGTAAAAAGTATCTACATGCCAGTAGGTATACATCACGTTATCCCCCATTTCTTCTCGTTACTCCGACACAAAAGTACTCGCGTGTAATTCTATTTGTACAAACACGAGACGAGTATAATTCATCGTTAAAAACAGTTCAATTAAACGCGGAAAAAAGGCCCATCTGTCCCGAGTATATACCGTACGTTTGTTGCCCATGTAGTATACATATATCGTTAATAAATACGCATGGCGTCGACCATAGATCATGGGAAATGGGTTGTACTGTTGTTCTATGCGCTAACAATTAATTTATTAAAATAAATTACCCCAATTATCGCTGTGAATTAATCCTTTATGCGCATTCCGGCCGGATAAAAAATATATAACGTTATGTAATTGCGGCTCTAGGAGAGCCTAATCTAGATTTTTGCTGGGAATTTTCTATCACCTTAACTTGATTACTTTTTTGTATTAATTTCAACAATGAGTAAACATTTTGTTATATAGGTAGGGTAATCTATGTAGAGTAATAAAGATATGAAGCTCCATTTAGTTTAAAACTGTATAGTGATGTAGTATAAGTGCACTTTGTTTGCTTAACATCAATCTAGCATACGCTTATTCATAGTAAATGTCTCGGTGAATATTTACCCTCATTAATAATGTTCCTTTTGTAGCTTCTACTAGACGTTATTACGATTAGTTTACGACGTAAACGAGAAAACAATTACTTTTCTTCCGGTTGCTTTTCGTATATACATTTTTCGTATTTTTTTTTTCTTTAATGGTATTAGTTATTATTTATTTAGGTCAGTTCTCGGCCTCGTTAAAAACCGGCTAAAAAAGGGTTTTCTACCCTCTAGGAAAATCAATTTCAGATTAGTTCGTCGATAAAGGGTTATCGTAAATGGGTCTATTAATAAAATAACTTCTTTACGTTCGGTTTGGGAAATAATTCTGGCGATAAATTTTTCTTTTCTGTATGGGTTGTTAAAATAAAATCGTCGACAGAAAACATACAAATTATCGTAATAACCGGTGAGCCAGGAAAACCCCCAAGAATATAAGGAATTACTTAATTTCCACTAAAAAAATCTAGAAAACCCGTTTAGTTTTATGGTTTCTCTTACCTAAGGAAATGTAAATTTGTGTTTATAAATGGGCAATTTAAAAATTTTTAAACCCCTCGCTTCCTCAAACGGATTAATTTGGTATGTACACTTGATTTACATCATCTTTCGAATCAATTATTAAATAAAACTAGATAATAATTCACTTTAATATCTTTATCCTACTGATTTGTGAACAATAACAGGTCGTTTACCAATTTATTTTGTTCAAATTGTGTGTATTCCTATTCCTGCAATATTTTCGAAAATAAAGGACCGTAAATATCGAATTTCCTGCGACGTATCGACTGCTCTTTGCGCAATTTGCGGGTTCCCCCTTCCAAAATATCGAAAAATATTTACCTGGATATTCGAGCGATTTGTTTCATCTGGGTAATATCGAACATTCCTTCTAAACGGGGAAACAAGAAAAGGCTACAAAAGGCAACAAGGATTAACAAAGGATAAAAGAGCCAACCCGACCTGTAGAATGTATAGTCGCTCGACCTGTGGGGGCCTATTAAAATCGAAATTCAACGAATCCAGTCGGCGCGGGCTGGATATATGAAATATGAAAATACCTTCGCAAAAAAAATAAAATTCTACCGAGCTATTTTTTTTTTCTATTACCATTTTTTCCTCTCCCATATCAGTAACACGCGTATCCTCGTTATATCATTCTCGTTATACGGCTCTTCCCGTGTAAGGGATTCGAAAATGAGAAGCGACGACAAGACGAGTCAAAGACGAGTCATCCGTGGCCTTTTTCTTAGCATCTTTTCCGCCACTCTTCGGAATATATACTTTTATACCTAAACGTATAACATTCCAAAGCCGCAGGTATTTCCTTTGTTGCTGACTGAACTCTCTCCGTACTGCTATGGACTCATTCTTGTCGCATAAAATCGACTCAGTGGTGTATCCTGTCGAGTAAATCATTCGCAGGATATTCCTTTTTTTCTCTCTTTACCTATATAAAAATCTCTTGTTTTTTTCTTGTACCAATTTACTGGAACAAGCGGGTTTTATTAATAATAATATAAATGGGAGTTTGATTAAATTTTGCCACTTTGTCGCAGGAGTTGAAAATGAAAGTGTAAATTATGCAGGAGTACTTACCGAATATGATTGTTAAATTTGCCGGTTAATTTCGGTTTTAATTCCTTCGTCTGACGTGTGTGCATGGAACAGGTAATTTTAAAACCTCAGAATATTCGTTGAAAAGCCACTCATTGAATATTCATAAAATTCAAAATGACCGTTTGTTAGTACCTATCTACTTACGTCATCAAAACTATACAGTTAATCAACTTTTATAGAAAATTAGTCATCACTTTATTTATTGAATTTTATTAATAAGAGAGACAAATCCCCTAAACCTCGCGTATTAGCCTATACCTACCTAAAATCGAACACAATATTTAGTATTTCGGGGATAATAGTCCTCTCGAATCCTCACGAATTCCCGCCGTTCGCCGGATATAAAACGAATCCTTCGGAAGATTAAATAAATCCCGGCATAATCGAATCCCGGTCACAAAAGGAAGATTACAGTTACATCGATTGTAAGTTATTAATCTTGTACGAATTAAATTACACGAACGTCGAAGAGAGTAAGGTATATTATACGTATGGGAGATTCGGTTCATTTCGTATTGTAATTTCGATTCCGAAGAGTTATATTTAACATGGTACTGTTTAGATTGAAAAATATTGTTTTGTAGTATTTTTTTAACTAAATAAAAATGCAAATTTCTATTAAATATTACACGCTCAGTGTGTGTGTGTGTGTTTTAGGCAGGCACATCGACTACTTTTGCATAGTTAAATCTAACGGTCTCGGTTTATATTTGTATAATGCTCATTTCCTTTGCTCTTTGCGCTTACGACGGAGCGTTCTCGGATATTATCTTTGTTGAAACATTGTTTTAATTTTTACGACTAAGTATTTCAGCTGGAAGCAATTAATTATTACATCATCTTCCCGGGTTTATCTGCAGACGATAGAGGGCATGTTTGAGACGCGCGCCGGTTTAGAAAATGTTGCAACTTGTACGATAAATATTCCGTTAAACGTTTATGTTTTAATTAGGAACTCCTACAATTGTTTTTTTTTTTTTTTTTTTAAATAAACCCCATTCCATGCACGCAATTCCGTATACAGCATAAAAATTATACAAAGTTGGCTAATTACAAATAAAACATTAAACTTAAAATTCATTCTGTGTAACTTCAATATAATAAAAGTTGATTACGGCTCATCCAATAAAGACACCAACACCAATTATGACACCAACACCAATTATGACATTACCAATCAAGTCAACAATAAAAAGCTCAATATTGAGTTTTGCAACATTCGAGGGCTCGGACATAATAACATTAACGTTAATTGCGTCCATCAACATCTACAATCAGTCAAGCCCCATATTTTAGCTTTAAGTGAAACTCAAATAAGTCCATCAGCTGACAGCACATACCTGCTATGTCCTGGGTATGATTTGCATTCTAGGTTTAGGTTCAAGGGAGGCGTTTGCGTCTACGTCAGATCTGACGTTGCCTGTCAACGTGAAGAATCCATGGAGGTTGACAGCCTTGACGTAATGTGGCTTAAAACTATTATCCACAAGAAAACGCGATTTATATGCTCCCTGTATCGCTCTCCTAACGACAACCAACCTCATCAGCTGTTTCAACACTTATCAGAGAAAGTCGACTGGATCCAGATCAACTATCCATCATCTGAAATTATCATTCTTGGCGATTTCAATGCTCATAATTCCGGTTGGCTAACACACTCCAACAAAACGGACGAGGCCGGAAGACAAGCCGAAGCCTTTGCAATCAGCTGCAATCTATCTCAATTGATAGATTGTCCAACAAGAGTTCCCAGTAACCCTAATGATTTCAGAAACACGCTAGATTTGTACCTAACCTCAGAGCCTGACAGCTATGACATCACGGCACATAGTCCACTTGGCAACTCAGACCACATCTTATTATCCGCATCATGTCCCTTAATTGTGGAGACTGTCGACCAACCCAGAGCTCGTCGTCTAGTTTGGCACTACAACAAAGCCAAGTGGGATGAGCTGAGGGACTTTTTCGCAGCGTTTCCTTGGAGCGCTACCTGCTTTGCGAACAAAGACGTTAATCAGTGTGCTGAAGCTGTCTCTGAGGTAATCCTTCTAGGTATGGAACTCTATATTCCACATAATCGCAAAAAACCACCATCCACAACACCCTGGTTTAACAAAGAATGCGAGCAAGCGTCCG